CCACCATTCCACTTACTCTTGTTGAGGGCTGGGTGCTCCATCAAAACCTGCATTACAGCTTGCCTCAGATTCCCTGGCTGTATCTCAGCTGTTGACTCCAAAGTCACCAGCCCTTTTATCAAGGGCAGCACCTTCAGCAGTGCCTTTGGGTTACAACATTGGTTCCTGGAGATCTGCTCATAAGGGCCCAAATCAGCCAACAGATCCTTGTGATCTGCAAGGCATGTAACCAGCAAGTCAACATCAACCACTGGTTTGCTTGTGTGTCTGGCGCCACCCTTGCCCATCACCCTTTTGTCAAGGGGTTAGGCAGCCCTTTTCTCAAGGGATTAGATCCCTTTTTTTTCCAAGGGATTAGATCCCTTTTCTCAATGGATTATTACCCTTTTCTCAAGGGGCTTACCCCTTTTGTCAAGGGTTCAAAGTGATGTTTGAGATAGAAAAATGGCTGAAAAAATCAATAAAGGAATCAATAGCAAAATCAATTAAAAAATCAATTAAAAAATCAATATATTTCTTATCACAAATCTATTGATAAAATCAATAAATTTTGCTATTGAAAATTTCAATTAAAAACAATAGGTCTTAATTGATTAGAATCAATAGAGGATGCTCAGGGGGTTCTTGGCGTGGAGGTTGCGCAAGTCCGTCATGTTCGGCAAATTGGTCGTAATTGTTGTAGGTTTCCTCTTTTTATGACCCATAGCTCCTTGATCGAAGGTGACCATGGCCATGTTTTCCTCCATCTCCAGCCCACGAAGTTCCGACCACGTCCAGAAGGAAGGAACCTGAGAGTCCGCCGCCATGGACACCGGATCCGCTGGAGACCCAAGCAGGAAGCCTGTGGGATCCCGAGCCACCTCCCAATCCCGACAAGCTTCGTCCGCCACGTGGTACAATCCCACCCGTTTCAACACTAAGGCAGCGTCATGACCTGCCAACCGTTGTTCTCCTGCAGAAAGATGCGATAGTCCAAAACGATGTTCATGGCGATCTCGAAGCGGTCGAGGTCCTGGTCCTCGGAAACGAAGTCTCGAAACCGATCGGCATGGTGGACCCGCCAATATCACCGCCAAAGAACCGTGCTTCGCCAAGGAGACCAAGAATGCCCACAATACCGGGTTGTGGATGTCCTGGTCCTTCCCGTGCATCACATCCAACGCAATGACTTCACATCCATGATCCCGTAGCTCCAACCATTCTTGAGCGCGTTCACCAGCAAATAGGTGCAGGATCACCTTCTTCGCCTTCAACAACCTTCTCCTGGTCGTGCGGTTCCACGGCAACGCCCCCTTGGTCAGGTCGCGCTCCTCCGCCATGTTCGAATCGAGGTACTTCAGGGCATCGACGTTCCCACCAACTCATCACCTCGGGGTCCAGGTTGTCTCCCTGCTCGATGTCCAGGTATTTTCGAGGCTCTGCGGCCTCAATCTCGTGGATGAGCAACAAGGCATCCTTCTGTGGAACCACAGGGCATCCATCCCGAAGGTGCGACACAATCTTTCCTCTTCTAGAGCGTTCCACAGTGCAACCAGACCTGGACCGTGTCATCTTGTAGCCCAGATCAACCAGCCCCCGAACCGGGACTATAGGTTCCACCGGCTGCTGCCACAGGAGTGTTCCCGTTGTTGGATCCTGATGCAGCTGGATCTGGCCATGAGCCAGCTCCACAGTCACTAACTCTGCCTTCTCGATCTCCCCGTCCAGAGCCTTTCTCAAAGGATGTGTAGCTCCCCCGTCTAGCAGACCCAGAGACCCAGAGACTCACCCAACGCCGCCCCAGTGCCCATGTCCAGCGACTTCACATTGATCACCTTCAACGTCATGGAGTGCAGCGACTTCAACAACGCCGCGGCCTGTCAACCATGCCACCCAAATCCGCGGCCGCCGTAGTGCCCCCAGAGTCGCCAGCGGGAGTGGTGTTCTCCTCATTCGCCTGCTTCGCCTGCTCCACGCCGATCGCCTCCTTGTTCTTGAAGTTTGGCAGCTGTCCGTGGGTTGATCGGCGAACTCTGAGCTTGACTGAGCCCCGGAGGACTCCCACCAGCACCTTGAACTGGTTCTCCTTGTTGTCCAGCTCCTGGTCGTTGACCTTGTCCCGCGGGTAGACCACCATCACCATGAAGGCCTCGTAGATCTCCTCGTTCAGCTAGCACCGGCATTTGCGCTTGGATTCCACTCCCCAAGGCACTGGCTGGGAATGGAGCCGAGATGAAACCCAACCCTCCAAAGGCTTCACGAGCCTGGTTGAGTAAAGCTGCCGCTCCGGATCCAAAGCTTCCACCACTGCCTTGTGCTCCGGGAGGAAGAGGAAGTAGACCTGCACCCGCTGGAAGCGGCGGAACATCCGGGAAGATCGGAACCTGCACTGTTTCTTGAGTCCGTTGTGGAGGACCCGATGCTTGTTTCGGCGTTGCTGCCGTCCTCTTCAAGGAAGGTGTGAGGTTCGTGCTCGGATCTAAGGATGATGCCCTCCTCGGTGGCGCAGATTTCGACCGATGCGCTTCCAGCATCTCATCCAGCTGCTCATCGGCGGTCTTCCGCCGGGACTTCGACGCTTCTTGACGTCGCTCCATGGCGGCCATCAACCAGCTTCAGCTGGGTGAACTTTACACGTCCGAGGTTGGGCTCATAACCCATGTGAGTGCAAACCACTCAGACCTTTTTCTTGAGCCAAACATTGCCAAGTTAATGGCTTGTGTCTTGAGGGGGCCATCAAGAGTGCTTGGTACACTTCTTGTTTTGTGCGACCTTATGACTCGCAGAAACAAAGAAAAACGAAAAGGAAGAAAGGATAAGAAATTCTATTCTTCTCAGAGGTCTCAGGTCTCTCCTGTCCAAAAGCTCGAATGGGCCACCAAGACGAGGTGATCCAATCCGCTCCTGGAAGACAAACCGCAAGAAATTTGACAAGCCGTGAGCCTCATGTTCAAGACTTAAACACGTTGACATGCCTCGTAGAAGTCTGGAGTTGGAACTGTAGCACACAGTGGAAATTGGAGGCAAAGTTGTCCGCTCCCGTGAAGAGATTCATGCACGTTTCGCCTGCTGCCTGCTGTCCATGGTTTGGAAGCCATGCAGTCTCTGGCAACTGCCGCGAAGGTGTTGTTTAGGTTTAGATCGTCCCCTAGATCCCTGATACACCAAAACCCAAAAGAAGCATGAAACCGTGAGGAAAAGAACTCTCCTGTGTGGTGATAGCTCGGGACTCTGCCTGTTTCTTCTCTTTCAAATAGTCGTAGTACCTTTATTGATGCTGCCAAAGCTGCTAACATGACAACGTGACATGGATCAACTTGCTATTGGAGGCGCCAAACGCAGGCTCCACCAACAAAGCACGTGAAAATCGCCGATTTCCATGTGAACACAACCTGGCTGCAGCTTAGCTTTCCAAATTGATGATCGTGGTATATAGGTGAGCATTGTAAACTGGTCGACAACCTTGCAAGCATAAACACAATGTTCCTGAATTGTCGTGGACGTTCAGATCTTGAGAGCCCCACGCTATCCGGAGTTGGCCTGCTCACAAGTGACTCAATCCCTTGAGCTCACCAAGTGAATGATGCAAAAAGGTTTAGGACAAAAAAAACGGACTCGATATTGCATGAAGGCTTGATTGATCAAGACCCTACACTGCAATGTTCAGTGCATTTCGAAGCCTGCGCTCACCACCGGCATCTTTACTATCACCTGTCAAGAGCAAAACCCTGTAGTCAACCACGAAGGTTCCATCTTTTCGGCTCTTGTTCGCAAATATGGTTCCATGTTGTTCCGCTCGAAGAAACTGCCTGAGCCCTTTGAACTATCCTGGTCGGCACCTGCACCTGCCAAACAGTGGAGTGAGTATGTGCACGTTGCATAAAAGAGAGGTATTGGGTGTCTACCTGTCCGTCTGCGCCAGTTCTAGCTGGTGTCAATTCTAGTTTCGATGAGGCGGTGCCACAACTGCAATGGTTCACGATGGCGACTCGTGAAAGTCCTGAGTCCTAAAGTTCATGCTTCAAAAGACGATCAGAAGAATCTGGAGCACAAGTTTTGGCACTTCCAGATAGAATTCCATCCTGCCCTCCGCGTGTGAGTGCTTGCTTGTCTGAATCGTCGCTCTGACAGAGCCACCAGGAACAGCAAGGAATTCGGAGCATGTTTGATTCACTGTTGAACGAAGACGCTCCAAATTCGCTGTGATGTCTGCAGGGGCCTTCTGGACATACTCGCTAAGCTATACAGCTACCTTTGTCGTATATTGTTTTATGATGTTTTATGTGTTTTTTGCTTCGTGCGCTGTGTATATTTTGCTTCAAAACACTTCAGGACTTTAATGATGTTCTGGTGGACGCGTTTAGAAGATAGATGAAGACAGTGCGACATGCACACACGTGTGGTATGATGATGCCACCTGCAGAGACGCATGCAAAAATGATGCCGCTCGCACTTAGAGCGGGGCTAGATCGGCGGGGATGGGGATGGGTCTGGGTCGGGGGTTAAATTAAAGAGGTTCGGTTGGGGGTGGCTCGCAGATAACGTCGAATGCACACATGCGTTCGAACATAATGCCACATGCACACAAGAGTGCTATGAGGCATGTGACGTGGACCCTTGGGTTGTTTGAAAGTGCACACGGGCAAGATAGATACCTGCTGGAGCCTGGCCAAGCAATTTCTTCCAAACAATTTGCCCCGTAAGAACGGTAGAAACACAAATGTCGTGGCCTGGTTTCGCTGCTTGTAGTGGCGTTGGGAGACAGGTCTAAAGGACCTCCTGTCAAGGACAGGCAAACGCACGTCCAGCCTGTGAACGATGCCATGCAAGAGAAAAGTTGCGATCGATAAGACAAATGAGATGTTACAGATGTTACAGTGATAACACATTGTAAAGACCTGCTGATTTTGACCATGGCAAGTCAAAACGCGCAAAAGCACACACTATGATTTTGTGTACTGACTTGACAGCGGGGCCACGCGCCAGCCTAAGAAACCAAATCCTGAAAAGTCCAGGAAAACCCTATGGAGGCTGGAGATCTTCAAAAGGAGAAAGGGCCAAAAGCTCAAGACCGAAAGCGACGAGCAGGTCGAGATGACGTCGTACGCTCATGTCTGCCAAGCTCATTAGCACTTTACTGGAAATTGGAGTCAAAGCTTGTTCAAAAGTTCAAACAGCAGGTACGCGCAGCTGATCAGGCTGCATATCCTGAGGTCACCATCATAGGGAGCTTCGTTCATCGCAGCTCTATGGGCCTCCTGTGCCCTCCTGCTCAAAACAATTCAAAAAGAATCCCTGTGACTACAAGGGGCACACACACGCCTCCTCAAAGAAAAACGCTCTTACCTAGTAGCGTCCTTGCACCTAGTAGTAAGGCCAGGAGCCCCTAGTAGCATCCCACTCTAAGGTCCCGACAGGAGGGAGGGGTAGGGAGAGAAGAGAAGAAAGAAAAAGAAGAAAGGAAAAGAAGGTGTTCCCAGCTACGACACAAGCGTCCAAGGACACACCAAGAGAAAGGAATGGTTCCCAGCTATGACGAAAGCATCCACGGACACCCAAACAAGAAGGAGGGAAAGGAAAGGAAGGAGAAAAGAGAGAGAGAGGGAAAAGAGAGGAAGAGGACAGTAGGTGTCCCCAGCCACGAACAAGCGTCCAGGGACACACCAGGGAGAAAGGGGGGGACCTGAGTATTACATTCAGGAACACCACCAAAAAAGGGAAAGGAAAAGGAAAAGAAGGTGTTCCCAGCTACGACACAAGCGTCCAAGAGGGAAGAAGGGTTCCCAGCTGTGACGAAAGCATCCAGGGACACCTAAACAAGGAGGGAAAGGAAGGAAGGAGAAAAGAGAGAGAGGGAAAAGAGAGGAAGAGGACTCAAGAGGACAGGTGTTCCCAGCTACGAACAAGCGTCCCGGGACACACCAGGGAGAAAGGGGTGAACCTGAGTATTACATTCAGGAACACCCCAACAAGCGACGGTGAACAAGCTTCGGCCGCTGCGGCCGCGTGCGCCGTGCCAAAATGACTGGCTGCTTAGACCGCTGCGGTCACGTACAGGCATGGGCCAGCTTGGAATTCAATAATCCATCAGGTCTTGGCAAGTAACTTTGGCATAAGCCTCCTACGCCCGCTCTGGGCACGTCCACCTCCGGGCAGGGGACATAAAGACAAACCCCCGTTCGACAGGTCCACAGGGTGCACTCTTCGGGCTCACCCTGGGCTCTCACTAGGAGAGACACACTTATGATTTTGTGTACTGACTTGACAGCGGGGCCACGCCCCAGCCTAAGAAACCAAATCCTGAAAAGTCCCGGAGAACCCTATGGAGCCTGGAGGTCTTCAAAAGGAGAAAGGGCCAAAAGCTCAAGACCGAAAGCGACGAGCAGGTCGAGATGACGTCGTACGCTCATGTCTGCCAAGCTCATTAGCACTTTACTGGAAATTGGAGTCAAAGCTTGTTCAAAGGTTCAAACAGCAGGTACGCGCAGCTGATCAGGCTGCATATCCTGAGGTCACCATAGAGAGCTTCGTTGGGCACAGCTCTATGGGCCTCCTGTGCCCCCCTGCTCAAAACAATTCAAAAAGAATCCCTGTGACTACAAAGGGCACACTCATGGATATGCGTACTGACTTGATAGCGGCGCCACACGCCGGCCTAGGGTTCCATTTCCTAAGAGTATCGGTAGGGAACCAGCGAATCCTGGGGGTCTTCAAACGGAGAAATGGCCCAAAGAGGAAGAAAACGAACGACGGACGAACAGGCTGACGACGTTCCGCTCACATCTGCACTTCAAAGAAAACATCAAAACTTCGAGGTTCTTGGCTTAGCCTCATGCCATTCAGAACGGAAGGAAAATGGCAGGTACGTCGGAGTGGCCAACTCCGATATCACCAGATCAAATGGGTGTCTTCGTTGGTAGCGGTCCCAAATGATCTGCCGCTACCCCCTGCTGCAAAACGAAAACACTAAAAGCAAGAACAATCCAAAAGGATCCCTGTGATTCCAAGGGGTACACACACACGCCTCCCCGAGGGGAGGCAAGGCAAAATTAAGGCTAGGGCCAATGTGCAAATTTTGCGCGCAGCAAGGACAAAAGGATGAAGACATGAGAAGGAAGACGACGGGACAAAAGTGTGTGTGGCTGCGATGAAAGAGAAACCAAATGCACAGGGACAACCGATGAAACCTCATTGTCGAAACCTGGGCGACCTGAATTGGACGTAGATGTGCGCGTACACACTAAGGCCCGGACCGTTGTACGCGCAAAAGAATGAAAGGAGTGAGATGAAAGGACATGAAGCAAGGGAAGACATGAAAAGAATGAGGAAAAGAAGTGTGCGAAGGGGAAAGGATGAAAAGGGAACCAAATGGGGGGACGGGAACCGATGAGCCCAGACCTCATTGCAACAACCTAGGAAGACCTGCCTCGTTAAGGTGTGTACGATGTGTGTGCACCTGAGAGTGGGACAGGTTCCAATGAACCTTGAACAAACTTCGGTCGCTGCGACCACGTACGGCTTGCCCGAGGGCTGCCACCTCTGACCGCTACGGTCACGTAAAGGCATGAGCCAACTTGGAATTCCAAAGATGAGACAAACATCCCACTTCTTGAGGCATAAGCCATCTACTGTCCGCTGCGGACATCTGCGTTCCCAGAGCCGGGGAACATGGACAAACCCCCGTTCAACGGGTCCACGGGAGGCACTCTGCGGGCTCATCCCCGGTTGGCGCAAGGCCAAACACACTCATGGATATGCGTACTGACTTGATAGCGGTGCCACACGCCGGCCTAGGGTTCCATTTCCTAAGAGTATCGGTAGGGAACCAGCGAATCCTGGGGGTCTTCAAATGCAGAAATGGCCCAAAGAGGAAGAAAACGAACGAACAGGCTGACGACGTTCCGCTCACATCTGCAGTTCGAAGAAAACATCAAAACTTCGAGGTTCTTGGCTTAGCCTCATGCCATTCAGAACGGAAGGAAAATGGCAGGTACGTCGGAGTGGCCAACTCCGATATCACCAGATCAAATGGGTGTCTTCGTTGGTAGCGGTCCCAAATGATCTGCCGCTACCCCCTGTTGCAAAACGAAAACACTAAAAGCAAGAACAATCCAAAAGGATCCCTGTGATTCCAAGGGGTACACACGCACGGCTTTAGACCCACCGGGTTTTTTGAGCTGCTCTGTGCTTTCATGGCGGTTCAAGAAGGAGAGGCTGGACGCACTATCAGGTCCATGGTCGGACAGTCTTTCCAACAGCCTTGGATCTGTGTACTTTCATCACAGTTCAGTTTGCGCGACAGTCGGAAATTGTGTTGATATTGTGCTATTTTGATTTGTTGTGTTTGTAGATGTGTCATTTTTCTGACACATCCCTGTTTAGGGGGTAAGAGGCTCGCACGGAAAAAGATGCACTTTCATGCCCGGCTGTATCGGGATGATGGATCAACGTGCTTCTGTGGGAGCTCAACACACTGGACAACATCAGTCGTCCCTGGAGGTTTATGTCCGTTCCTTCAACCCAAAGCCTAGATAAGCCTAGTAGCTTCTTGTTCCTAGTAGTAAGAATGCTCCTAGTAGCGATGCCAGGAGCCCCTAGTAGCGTCCTTGCTCCTAGTAGTAAGGCCAGGAGCCCCTAGTAGCGTCCTTGCTCCTAGTAGTAAGGCCAGGAGCCCCTAGTAGTGTCCTTGCTCCTAGTAGCGATGCCCTTTGCTCACAAGTAGCTTCTTGCTGCTAGTAAGGCCAGGAGCAAAGACCGACTTGTCTTCTTGCAGTACAGTGAAATGGGTGATGGCGATCTTCGCTTGGCACAGCACGGCTTGTTCTGCCACAGCAGCTCGAGTGCGGTCTTTTTCTCCCTAACAAATTGCCTGTTTCATCCAATAGTGCGACCAGCGGCGAAAGCCCAGGGTAGGTAAGATTTGTGCCAGTGACGGTCCTGTTCTTCCAACTGTGCACACTCCTGCGTTCCTGTCTTCCAGCTTTGCCAATAGTAGTAGGATGCAGTATGATGCAGTTAGGATGCAGTCAAACAAACACGTTTAACCTATATAACAATTATAAGCCTAAGACTTAGCTAGATTTCATATGATTTCATGTTGCCTTGCTTTCACTTGTTTTTGGAGAAGAGAAACAGCCAGGCTGGGTCAGGCTTCATGTCAAAATCTTCGTCTCCGAGTGCAAATCCTACGGTCTTAGTGCACAGTGAAACTCGAAAAATGAATTTCTGAGCTGCGGAGCCACCAGGGCCACCAGGAACAAGGACGCTACTAGGAGCAAAGGGCATCGCTACTAGGAGCAGGGACGCTACTAGGGGCTCCTGGCATCGCTACTAGGAGCAAGCAAGGACGCAACTTGTAGCTCCTGGCATTGTTACTAGGTTACTAGGAACAAGAAGTTGTGTTCACAATCCCATGGGATGAAGTATTCGGAATGCTGGACCAGCATTGCTGGTCGTGCCATCCCACTGGACTGATGTGTAATGAGATGTATGACGTCTCTCTCTCTCTCTCTCTCAAGTGTCTGTCAGGGGGGCTTGTGCGAACAAGAAAAAGAAGGTTGCCGTGGTTACGTGCGCACGCGCCCTTCACCACTTGTATACCAACGGAAATTGAGATTCCTGTCATTTCCCGTCATTCGAACATGGTTGTGGTGACTGTGGTGCATTTCAGGGTTCACGTTGCACTCTCAAGGAGCTCGTATGTAAACAAGTTGGAGCACAAAGTTGTTCCTCCATCGTTGTTGCTGTCGCCAGCATCTACATTGTCAGTGCTACCACATTCATGCTGCAGTTCTCTCTGGTGTCCGTGGGTGTGGGCTATTGTGGGTTCAATGCTTCTTGATCTTCTCGCTTTGATTGCAAAAGCCCCCCCCCAAAAGTAATTAATTGCCAACTATAGTAACTAGACTAGACAAGACAACAGAACAAACAAATATATTGCACCAACTCCGGTCAAGTGGCTTGGCTGCGTTGCAAGGCCGCGTGCCTTGCAAAGGCCATAGGTGTGGAAAGGCTTCAAAGTCCGACGCTCAACGCTCAATAGTCCCCCGTGGACCTGGCAAGCAACTCGTGCAATTCTGCAGGTGGCCTCAGGCAGGAGCGATGATAAGAATCAGTCTGCCATCATGTTGGAGACCAAAGACATGAAACGTAAACATACAGAACTGTATATAGGCTCATCTAGCTTGAACCGGGTGTCTTCCAAATAGCAAGTGGGTGTTTGATCTGGAATAGAACCTTGTTGTCAAGTTTCTTGCTGGCTCCGTTAAAAGCATGTAACACAGCCATGTAGTTTATTTGGTCCTGCTTGGGAGCAAAAAGCTCTAAGAATGAGGCAACATCCACATGCGCCTGATACACGCAAGACTGACCTTATATACAGTCATGGAACTTCAAGAATTTAGATTTCTTCGTAGTGGGCAGCCACGCCAGCGTGGAGATATGATGATGATGGAGACGTTACGTGTGAAGAGCCCGCAGAGACCATCTCCTTCCTCACAACCACGAACATAATCCACCGCTTCTGGCGCCACAGCCAAGCACCACTATTTCAAAAGTTTTGCGCCACATGTTGATAGAGTTTTCGCTTCAAGATTTTTAAAGCACTTCGACGGAGAACGTGGACCTGTCGGAGCTACAAAAAGAAAGGCTTGACTTTGACCGGGACGTTGCAACTTCAATAGGTCCAACTCATACTTCACACTATTTGCCAGATCTTTCTCGACCCTCTGCGGAGTCATGTGTTGATGTAGGTCTGTGCGGCCCCGAGGGTTGCCTGAGCCAGCTGGAAGCAACAACCACTGCGCTTATATGCTGATTGCTCAATATGCCCAGCTTGGACGTGTGAAACTTTCTCGGTTTGACATTTACCTTGTATTGGTGCTCAGGAGCGGAGGCTCAACGATTTTGGATTGGAAGATTATAATTGGAGCAGTCGGACGCAAACACCTGAAGCTTGTAGGTGCAATCAATGTGCGCCCGAAGCTTCGGTGCCTTGCGCCCGGCCAAGCTCAATCAATGGGGCCTTGCAGGAATGAATGAGTTGGAGACGGAAACCCCGTCACAATTTTGCCAGCCAAATTGATTTGGCCAGGAAACCCGTCACGTTTCAGACCGGGGCCCCAGCCCCAAAATGTGATGGGTTGTTTGAAAACCTGTCGCAATTAAATAAGGAAAACGAAAACCCGTCAAACTTTCCGGCTCATCCCCAACTTCAAAAAGTGATGGGCTTTTCCAAAGCCTATGGAATTGTGATGGGTTCCCATCGCTTTTCTGGGGCCAGCCGAGCTTCCAGATTGTGATGGGTTTTCTGAGCAAAACCACTCAGCCAAGTGATGGGTTTTTTAAAAACCCATCGCAATTTGACCAGCCAAATCCATTTGGCCGGGAAAACCCGTCACAATTTGACCAGCCAAATCCATTTGGCCAGGAAAACCCGTCAAAATATAGCCAGCCAAATCTTTTTGGCCAGGAAAACCTCGAACACTTGGTATACCTAGGGTCCAACCGCTTTGCACTTGGAGTAATGAGGTGTTGCGAAGCCTGTTTGGCATAAAGGACTTGTCACGGTTTACTGTTAAATTGTGTTGGTTCAGTAAGGACACCTCAGTTTCCAACAAAGACCAAAGCAGAAGGGCCAGGGCTTTGAGCTGGGTGCGCTTAACCTTGGTAGGCTATTGGACTGCCAGCTAGCTGGCAGCCGGTGTGCCAGTTTACTGGCAGCCACAACCTGTTTGAGTTTGTGGTGTGTGCTTCTTGAAGCTTTAAGCTTCTGCAGGGGCTTTAGGACGAGGTGAGAGTTGTTCGAGTAAAACGGTCGCGTCTGTTGAAGGTTGCCTTGAAGCTTCGTGATTCTTAGAGCCGCGGCTTGTTGAGGCGATGTGGTAGCGGGGGGACAATATCGCGTCACATGGACGATCAAAGTGGAAAATAGCACAAGCGAAGATTCAACCTTTTGACCTGCTGGCTTGGTTGCAATGTGCGCATGGAGCCTGGTAATTGAACTTGGTGCTATTTGATGGTTTTGAATGGGATGCCACGTGATGCGTGCAAGTGCTGATTGCTTGCAAATTGCAGCAAATTCTGCGAGTCCGTGGAAAAAGCTGCCAGCTTGTGCTTTGGAGTTTACCGGACGGGTAGAAATTTGGACACCCACTTGCTATTTGGAGGACACCCGGTTCAGTTAGATGAGCCTATATATATATATTGTTTTGTTTTATTCGTTCATTCTATAACATGATATTATGGCCCGCCAAAACCTAACAGTGTGCAAGCACGACTGTCATCCAGGGACCGATTGCTCTTTCTCTTCAATTTTGGATCTGTTGCTGGTATGTTGGTAGCGCTGCCTGCAGGTCTTTTCAAGGTCAACGGTGGGTCGCTTTAGGATCTCTCGATGAGCTCCTCCTTTATCAGATTCATTTGCACTTGTTGAAGGCCTCTTCGCTGCACTCCTGGAAGATCTTCTTTGCAAGCTCTCAGTGTTTCACATATGTCTTTCTGCAAAATCTCTGCACTTGGATGCGGTGATACTTTATGCCCGTTGCGAGATCGGCAAATGTGTGCCAAATAGCCGCCTTTGATGGCATGATCTCCAACAGCTGGCTTCTGCAAGATCTCTGTGCAAAATCTCTGCACGAAACTTGACAATCATGAAACAGCCAAACCTGTGATGATATGATATGTCTTTGTACGATCGTTTGTGCAAAAGACCTTCTCATTGATCTTTGCGACGTCCCTTGTCCAATCAATCCTTAACCGTAACCTCTCACAATCTGCTGGGGCTGCGGGCAGTTAGGATTTCTCTACGTAGGCTCGCTGGAGAGAGGAGATTCCGTGCAAGATCTGTTCAATATCTCGCAATTCAAGAGCACCTGTTCAGTGCCTGTGTCATGCCTCTGTCAGGAATTTCAGGACCTACCCAGTCCCCTTGATTGTCTTGATTGATAATGTCTCTTGCAGGGTTGCTCGATCTATAGTCATTTGAGAACTTGTTGGAGAGTTCTCCAAGATCTTTTTGTCACAGATTCAGATTCCTGCCCACCGCTAGCTCGAAATAGCTCGAACTACAAGTGCTGCTTGCCACAAAGGTCCGAAGCGTGATCTTAACAAGCACTGCGCCTGTCGTGACATCTGAGGATCCACGTACACACGCCAATTTGCGCCTGCCACAAAATCTGAGCTGCACCTATCATCTGAACACCTGCCGCGAAACATGAAGAATTAGAGAATTAACCAGAAGTTCACGAGTGCCTGCACCTGCAAGAGAATCCGAGCTTACGAGAGACCACTGACACGTCAAGAGCGGTTAAGAGTGTGCTTCGAAGTAAAGCGCACACAATATCCTTCACCTACCGCAGAAAGTGACAGTTGGCCCGAAAAACATGTCAATAATTAGTTCAGCAACATGGGAGTGTATAACGGCCTTATGATAGCACTTCCTCCAGAATTTGTGGCCCTTATCATTCCATAATGTTTGGTTGGGTTGGGACAGAGTCCTATCATTTATGGCCTTTATCATTCCACAATGTATGGTTGGGAAATATGCAACAGTTTGCAACATCTCTTCCATGTTCCATTGCTCTGGTGAAAAGCCATCCAATCCAATTGCTTTGTAGGTTCAGAAAAAAGGAAGGCCAGGAAGGTTCAAACAAAGGAAGGAAAAAGAAAGCACCATGGGTATGGATGGGCATGGTATGGGCCATCTGAGATTGATTGACTTCGCAGGTTCGCCAACCACCCAACCAACCGACCACGCAACCAGGCAAATGGGCATACTGGGTTTTCCAAAATGTGATCTGGATTCTCCTGATGAATTGCAGCGTTATGTCGGGCACGCCAGCCATAGATACAAGGAGCCAAAATAGTTTTATAAAGCAAAAACAAAGCACAAAAAAAGCAAAAGGCAAAGCAAACAAAAAAGCAAAAAAATGTAGCTGTGCGTATTTGTCGTTTTTTTTCACTTTTTTTCGCTTTATTTTCGCTTATTTTCGCATTGTTTTTTCGCTTTTTTTCGTTTTTTTCCTAGGAGGGTACAGCTTTTTTTCGCTTTTGTTTTTGCTGTACCCTCCTAGGAAAAAAGCGAAAAAAAAGCGACAAAAATGCAAAAATAAAGCGAACAAAAGTGAAAAAAAAGCGACAAATACGCACAGCTACATTGTTTTGCTTTTTTTGCCTATTATTGCGCTTTGTTTTTGCTTTGTTATTTGCTTTTGTTTTTGCTTTTTGCTTTGTTTTTGCATTTTCATTTGCTTTTATTTTGCTTTTTTTCACTTTTTTTCACAAAAAAACTATTTGATGGTTGGCCATGTATGGCTGCCATCGCCCAACATAATTAGCAGCGTTTCCCTCAGAGGCGACTATGTTGAGAAACGTTCAAAGGTGAACACATCCAAAGAGGATGTCCTACACTCAGCTAGCTACGACTGCCATCTTAACATGCAGCTAGTTACGTAGCAGTTTGGGCCCAAAGCACTTGATGCTCGTCCGAGTCACAGGAGCGAAAAGCACAGGCCTTGCAAGCGAGGACCTCTGACTGCGAAAGCTTGAACTCTCCATACTCTGATCATCAAGTTGACAAGAATTCTCCGGCCTGAGAAGACCTGCACTTCGACGTACAAGTGTTGCCATGGTTGCTACAAGGTCACTGGAATCATTGGTTTCTTGCAAGTTTCTCAGAAGCTGAATGGATGCGGATTGCACATCTCTTCATTGCGGAGTGTTTGCTCTTTCCAAAAAACTGTTTAAGGATGTTTAAGGTCGGCAGCTCTGTCAGACTCTGTCAGCTCCAAACAAGTAACATGCCTGTTCCAATGTTATTTACAGCTTGCTGCATCTTGCTAAGATAGAGCCAAACCTTAGAAAAAGCCTTACTAATGCACAAATCAAGACTTGATTCTGCAATGTGGGTTTTTCTAAGCAAGCTTCAAAGACATACTAAAAAGCTTTATTGTTACTAGTAGCGATGGCCTCCACCTTCAAAGACCGAAAAAGCTTCTTGCTACTACGGGTGAAACGATTCCCAGTGAAACGATTCGCAAGGAAGCTTCTAGCAACTCAACCAAAAACAAACATCTCAGGGCCTCTGCATATTGTTTGAAGCCTCCCACCAATAGCCTTGTCTGCGCATGTCTCTCCTGCATACGGCATCGCAAATGAGCGCTCACATGTTCAAAAGATCCTCAGTGCTGAGTGCTGAATAATCTTATATAAATGTATGATGACTCACAACTTGTCATGTTGTCTTTGCATTGGTTGAAGGGTGAAGGGCTGTGCGATTTGTGGATGACGCAAAACACTGGGAGTTGAGCACAAAAAACAAACATCGCACCTCGTTCAAAGCGACTAATGTGCCTAATTCTATTTGGCAATACTTCATACCGTGCTTTGTTGGCTAAAGTGCGGGGCCAAACCAGTAAAATCAGTTACAACATATGCAATATAAGCGGCACCAAAATGGCACTGAAGGGAAAACAAACCACACAACCTTCAAATCCGATATACCATTGATACGTAATCATATATATAAATATATGTATTTATGATTAATTATTTATGTATGTATTCCAGGAAGAATGTCGATTCCAGAAATTGCTTGCATTCTGTGCGCTCAGATGCAAGGTCTAGGTTGTGCTGTATCAGCAGAATTGATCTTTACGATGCCTTACAAGTGTGCTGGCACTCTATGATGCTCTCAAAACAGTGTCTGTGCAATCAAGCAATCTAAAAGCTCAACTCAGCCTCATCAGTGCAGGCTGAAAGAGAGAAAAACAAAACTGGAAGAGACACTCTGAACTAAAGCTGAAGATGACGTGTGCACTTAGCAAACAATTAGACAAGTTTTCAAAAAGTACTAAGTGCGCAAAAAAAAAGGGAAACATATTTCTAAAATGGTGCTAAAAGTTTCTGCAGAAAGACCTGGACTCTCTCGAGTCACCGGCTTGGCTCCCAGTGGGTAAATGAACAAAATGTGTGTCTTCTTCAAGCCTTTTTTTTTATCATGTTCGAGCCATATAATTCTAGATGATGTTCACTGCCTGCTTAAAGTTGTTCTTGTTTGTCCACAGTTCCACTTGGTGCTACTGTGTTCATTCCTTGGCACCTCCACAGCTTGCCATACTTCATTCTCATCCGATGGAGGTACAGTACAAGTATGCTGTGTCTCAAGAAATGGTGCACTGATTTTGCCCACCCGTGAAGCATGCAAATGAAAGGTCGGCTGCCAACTCTTATGCGTTCAATTCACCCAACAAAGGGGAGGGGTGTATGACCATCCTGCCGGTTTATCTCCTGCCTTTATTGCGCAAATCTGCGAATGAAATTGCTTTGGCCTCAAGTCTTGCAAAACCAAACAGCGGCCACTGTCTTTGGGCTGGCCACCGATTCAGTATTTATCTTGCTTTGCAACATGGCTCGTGACCGCTCCGGATCTGCAAGTCGAAGCTCCTGTGGGTATTGCAAAGTGCAAGGGTGCCCTTTCGCAACTGCAATATCCAAACTTTCAACAATTGCACCAATCCAACAGCAAATAGTAACCTTAGAAACTGTGCGGTGCGCACAAACTGCGTTGTGAATATGTGGCCAACATATGTCAATCCCAAATTGTCCTTGAAGGATGTCATATACATCCTTTGCACAGGAGTTGCGTAGAAGAAAACATTCACACAAGGGCACAGCAAATGGATCTGAAAACCGTTCGTATACGTGTGTAGATATATATATACACACAATATACACACACTCATCACACAAATCACAGACTGAGCCAGTGTCTCGCGGACCATCGATATGGAAGGCTTGAGCCGCCAGTCTGGCAATGCCTGCTCTCTACGGAGTCAAGTGAGTGACACAAGTGGACACTGGGCAGCAGCAAGTCAGTGAGAGCACCTCCAGCATCTTGATCCGCTGTGCAAAATGAACTGGAAGCTCCTTCAGCTCTACCCCTAGCTTTCTTTGTTGAGAGACCTTGGGACCCCACAAATCAGAACAACAAGAATTTGTGAATTATTGACTGCTGCTCAATGAAGTGCTCTGCTAGCAGAGTCGGGCCCGACTGCACATCTATTTACGGCCCGTAAAAACGGGTAGAACCCTATGAACAAGTTGGTTGCCGAAAGAAGAATCTAGTAACGCCTGGTGTTGTGCAATTAGTGATCTCCCAAACCCAACTGACTTGAAGGTCTTGGCACATGTCACGCACTTTTGCCCAACAATGCCATCAACCTTTAACCGTGTGTGTGTGTGCGCGCGTGTGTGCGTAAGATCTGGTTAGCAAGCGATCAAAAGATATTCAAAAAGGCATGCACTTAGTGCAAGAGAATGCGTATAATATACAGTAAGGAGAAACAGCGGATCGGGGAGAGCAAGAAACGACAAATGACTCACTGGAAGTTGCCGGTAAAAAACTCTAAGAGACAACAACGTGGTACCAAGATGCTTTGGATGTGGTGGACAAGGATGAAGACGCACAAGATGGATGACAGGATGCTGCATCCATTGAACAAAACAAGGTGAGCCCGCGGACCCAAAAGCAAAAAGAAGCGCACAGCCCAGGAAAAATAAACAAACACACATTAGCAGGCCAAAACGAAGCATCAGCCCCCTCCAGGCTTCGTGGCAACCATGATATTTCAAGCATCGCGGTTCTGGTGCGCATCCGTCCACCCCTGTCTGCCATAGACACCCCCGTCCACCCCTTGGTCAGTTTTGAAAGCCCTCCAAAACGGTCATAAAACGATTGCAACATGGCTTCTGACAACCGTTTCAGGAAGCATGGAGCAGCATCAGCCCCCTCCATGGTTCGTTCCAACCATCCAATTTCACGCGTTGCGCTTTTGGCACGCAACAATCCTGCCGTGTTGGCCATGACTTGACTATCTGGCGCATGCATTGTGCACATTTTGGACACAAAACACCATCGTATCAGCCCCGCAACACAGCTCCACTCACCATGAAAGAACTTGCCATCTCCCGCAAACATCTATCAGCGCGCCCATCTTCTCCAAGGTCTTCATGCCAATGAGGCTCGGCGCCTTCTCAGCATCGATGGTGTAGAGTCCCAAGGAAACAAGTTGGTCTCCAAGGCGTTGTGGGACCATGACATAGCTGGAGGATACCTGAACTCCTCCATTGCCAAACCTGAAGGGTTTGCGAGCAGATGGTCCAGTAAACACCTCCACCGGCTCAGAGATGCCACGCAGCTTGCTGCGAAGTTCCATCAGCACCTCAAGGGCTTCCAAGGAGCCCAACGTCTCGGTTGCTCCCAAATCCAACACTCCATAGCCGGCGGTGTCATAGATCACCTCATCCTCCTTCACGACCATGCCCACAAAGGCCAAGGGTGAGCCAGTCAGTGACTCAACCCAGTAGGTGCCCTTCTTGGCACCTTTGCCAAATGAACTTGTCGATGGGTTGGATCTCTTTGGGCATTGTCGGAATCCATGGCCCTTGTCGCCACAGATGAAGCATCCAGGTCGTTGAAGATTCATCAGGTCCTTGAGCAGCAAATAGTGGCCTCGCAGCTGTATAAGGAAGACGATGAGGTGTGGCCCATGCCTTTTCCTTTCTTATACTTCCCCTTTGAGCGACCCTTCTTGCCCTTCATCATGCCAAGGAGGTAGCAGCCTCGCGAAGCACCTTTTGCCTTCTGCAGTTGTCGACTCTGCATGAATGTTCGTGCCTTGTTCTCATAAGCCATGTAGGCTTCATCAAGCTCCTTCACTTCACTTCCTCCGGGTCCAGGTCGGCATAGCCATCGTCAGCACTCCAGGAGGTGCCATAGCCGTCCGTCTCGAACCAGAGACCGTAGTTGTCCTGGTAGTAGCACCATCATACTCTTGCGTCCAGAGGATGGAGTCATCTTCATCATCTCGAGAAGGTCCGGGTCCAGGATCATATACTTCAGTATAGGTAGTTGGGACCCAACCCAATGAATCTCAGCTGACTCGTCACCATCTTCCAAGCAGACCAAATTGGCCTTCTTCCTCCACCCAGTAGGTGCGGCGGCGTCCTTGAGATCCTCGGCTTTGATCCGCCTGCAACAACTCCTCTTCTTGGTCTCGAAGAGCCAATTCGATGTCCTGGAACTTCAGGGAGTTGTTCACTGAGGCTTGAACTGAAAGGCGGCTTGATGCACTCAGGTTTGCCCTCCTGAGCAACAACCATCCAAGGACGATCGTCCGGCAACACCTGGATCTCCTCCACTTGACGCTTGTCCCAAGGAAGATCTTCTCCTGAACTGGAGTCGTCATCATACCATTCTTTCTTCTGTTGCTTGCGCCACTCCTTCCATTCAGCATCTGTCCAGCGTGGCTCCCAATCCTCAGGCTCTTCTTCATCTTCAGGACCTTGAGGAACAGAGGTGTAGTCACCACGCTCATCTCCGGACTCCTGGATCGGCTCTTGCGGGTCAGCACCATAGCCATCTCGAAGGGCTCGGTGTCGACCGATGTGCTGGGCTCGCTGAGGGTGTCCTTCTCGTCGGCGAGGTAGGTGGTTCTCGATGAGGTTCAGACATGCTCTTGACCTCATCCTTGTCCTTGGCTCGTTGGAGCTGGCGTGCACGGATCAGGGCCCGCTGGACTTTGCGGTACCCCTCCAACACCTCGTTGGCCCACTGGCTCATAGCCATACCAAGTGGCCTTCTCATCCGGATCAGCAGATCCTCAAGCCTTG